AGCCTGGGTTCTGGCTTGTGGGGTGAAATGGGATAACAGGTGTGTAACTGCCTTGTTTTGGATCGCAGCAGATCTGTGTGTGTTGGTACCTGCTGGAGCTGAATCACGCAGCAGTGCCTTGCTCCCCTTCACTTTGCTCGCTGTTGGTTGGGATTTTTTTGCCTGTGTGTTTTGAAGCTTATTAAATGCTTCTCTTAGCCTAAATTGACGTGGTGATGGTGTCAGGATTTAAGCCAGATTACAAGCTGCGAGCAGTAATCTCCCCTTTATCCGTGGTGCAGAAGCCAGGCCAGCACAGCCCCCCACCCGCGCCGTCCCTGGCGCTGCGGTCACCTGTGATCAGAGCTGCTCCCACCACTGACCTGCGCAGCAGTGAGGACGGCTGTTGCTCGTGGCTGCATATAAAAACAAATGGGGCTCCGTGATGGAGGCAGGGGGTAAATCAAGCCAGGGCAGATGGCAGCGACTGTCTCAGTTCCACGCTTAGCTGCGATCTCCTCCACGTTCCCTCCTGGGGTAGAGATTTGCCTTGTCCTGGTGCTCTGTGCCTGTCTCTGATCCCAGGCTAGGCAAGAAAGATCAGTGGCTTCTCTTTTTATCTGTATTTTTTCCCTTTCCTGTTCTATTTAAATCTTATTTGCAAGATCATTAAGAAACTCAGGAAATGTGGTACTGGGAGCTCGTACGCAAACGAGCAATAAAGCTTTTGTCGAACATCTGCTTGTGTGATGTGGCTCTCGTTACGTCCCAGGGCTGATGCCGTCCTAAAGCTGAACGTTCAAGCAGGAGATTACATCAGCTCTGGGTTCAGAGGCAAACAGGCACTTTGGAATCGGGGGAGTGAGCGTGAAGGGCTGCGCAGAGAGCCAGAAGCGGGGTGGTGAAGGGCTGTTGTGGCTGCCTTGAGGGTCCGGGAAGCAGCAGGCTGGCTCTTCCCTAGAGCTCTGCACGCTGCTGTGAATGTTGATGTTAAGCTGCTTTTGTAGCTGTGGTGCAGGTTGTGGTTCTTGCTCTGAGCACAGCGAGCGGCTGCTTCCAGGCAGGTGATGCTTCGGGATAAGTTTTGAGCTGTGATGACAGATTAAGGGGTGAATCTTCCATTGCTGGACCCAATGTCTTAATGCAGAAGTTGGCTGAGACCCTGGGGTTTGTGCAGGGCTGCTGACAGCTGTGGGACAAAGTCAGCCGGGGCGCAGATGGAACCTGATGGCCGGCTGGAGGATCGTGACGATGCTTTCAATCCTGATTCGATGCTTTCAGCTGCCCCTTTTCCTGCCGCTCGCTCGCCCGCTCCCCAGGTGGCCGCTCTGCTGCATCCCCATCTCTGGGGCTTTCCGTCCGTCTCTACGGGACTGGGATGCGTCTGGCTTCCCCGGGAAGGTCCCTGTCCCTGTGGCCGTGTCGTTAGGTGGCGCTGAGGGGCCGGCGATGGGGATCGAGAGGGGCTGATGGGGCCGGGCGGCCGTGCTGCCGGCTTCGCGCTGCGGGCGGCTCGGGTCGCTCCCGGGATCGGGTGCCGCTGTTCAGCAGAGTTCATTCCGCGGGTGTTTGCTGCACGGTGTCGCTTTCAGGCTGCCTGCCTGCAGCCCCCGGGCTGCGTTCACCACCAGCAGCACGTGGACCCAACGTCCCTAGCAGCCGGGGAGGAGAAGCGGCTCCAGAGCCGTTTCTGCAGTAGGGAAGGAGCCACGCAGGCAACGCTGTGAGTGACAGCTGTGTGCTGCTGGAAGCTGAAGTTACAGCTGGGATGAGCTCGGAGATCTCGCTGGCTTTGCTAAGGGGCTGCTTGCTGAAACTGGCCTTCTAAAATGAGCGTCGAGAGCCCCCAGAGCACAGGTAATCTAGTCCGGCGTGAGACAAACCAGCTGGGGGCAGGTTGCTGGCCTGGCAGCAGGGAGGTCAGCGGCCGCTTAGAAACCAGCTCACGCCACCAAGGAAGATGTTGGGAAAAAGCCTCTCAGCCGTGTGATGAACGGATGAGCCTCAGCCTGGGCTGCGCCTTCCCAGCCCCGCAGAGCCGCCGGGTGCTGCGCTGAGCTGCGCTGGGTGGCCGGCGGGGAACAGATGGCTCCACCAGCTGACCTCAGCGCTTTGGCCCAGCGCAGCTCCCAGCAGCGTTCTGAGCCTCGGGGGGGGGGCAGCTCCTCGTCTTCCCACTGCTGTCTCTGGTGGGAGTGGGGCCGAGGTTCCAGTTTCTGGGCTTCCCGACTTCCCCTGCACTGAGGGAATGGGTTCCTCTCGGCTCAACCTCCTCCCTTCTCTAAAAGGACTCTGTGTGCATCCTTGCCCCAGAGCTCTCAGAGCGCCCATGTTTCCCCTCCTGCCCTTAAAGACTCAGTGTTCCCACTGCTCTGCACTCCTGTAAGTTTTCTGGGAGCCTGAAGCCAGATAAGGGATGAGATGCCCCGCAGGCACTGTGCCGCTAGAATGCACCCATGCCATTGGGCTGAAGCTGCACTGTCCCCATAGCCATGTGGGGCACATGCACGGGGTGGGAGGATGCGCCCCCACTTGGGGTTCATCTCTGTGGGATTCGGTGCTGTGAGCTTTGCTAGGGCTGGGAGGGGAGCAAAGAGGATGAGCTGATGGTTCTGTCTCTGGGAAGGGCACAGCAGCTGCCCCAGGGCGCTGCTTGGGGACGAGTGAGGCAGGTGTTGGAGGATGAGGGTTGGTTACACCTCAGGAATGAGTGATTTCCTACCTTTCTGGGAAATTTCCACTTCCAGCCTCTGGGGCAGCCCTGCGGGCAGCCGCCACCTGGGAGGAGGAATTATCCCTGTGGTGACAAAGCCCTCCCTATTTATTTCAGCTCCCTTAATTACCGAGCAGAAGGGATGTGTGGCAGCAGAGCGGGGCTGTGGTGTGTGCACAGCCCTGTCCCTGCAGCCTTGCTCCCACCTCTGCCAGCTCTGCTTCACTTTCTGTCTTCAGTCTGGTTTTGGTGGCCAGGATCAGGGCAGCGGGCAGCTCGGTGTGGGTACCAAAGCCCCAGACACCTTTAAGGGGCAGAGCAGTGATCCCATGAAGGTGCTCTTCGCACACATTCCTTTGTTAAATGAGCCCTGGGGTGAAAGGATGAGGTCGGTTCCCAGTTTCAGCAGTGGGTGGGCTCAGACAGCCTTACTTTGGCCACACTTCTAGGGGAGGATGGCAGGAGCAGGACAGGCGCAGAGCTGGGACCAAACCCCCGGCATCCATCCCACGTGCCACCATCAGGGCTCTGGTGTCGGTGTGATGTTGAATGGCAAAGGGACCCACGGCTGTGCTGCTGGGGCTGCTGTGGGGTGCAAGGAGCCTGCATATGCATGGAGCAGCTTTGTCCTCCCAGAACAGCCCTCCTGTGCTTCTGCAGCCCTCCCTGCAGGACGTGGCTGTGCACCAGGAGCTGTCGGCGCACGCTGCAGGCAACGAGCAGCAGCAGAGCCTCCTGCAGGGCACGCAGCGGGAGAAGGTAATGGGCTGAGGGGGTGCTGTGGGCCGAGAACCTGCCGGGGTAATGCACAGCGGTGTGGGAAGGAAGGAGAAGAGAGGGGTGGGCAGCTTTGTGCCCTCCCAGCCCAGCAAAAAGAGGGGGAGCGCAGCACACCCAGGTTGGATGGTGCTGAGTAGGGAAATTTTCTCTTGGGAGGAAATGTCAAGCCGTGCCTGGCAGGGCTGAGGGCTTCCTCCCAGGGTGCAGTCGGTGCTTCTGTTCTGCTCTGACCTTTATAACCACCAGGGTGCTTTTGTGGGGGGGAAATGTAAAAAGGATTTGTGTTATTCACGTGTTGAAATAAGGTGGGTTTGATGATTGTGAGACAGTGCCGTATGCTGGAGCTGTTACAGAACCTCGGGGCACGGCCATGGCAGCAGGGTGGGTGCAGGAAAAAAAGTTTATTTCAATACCTTCAGAGGAGAGAAAAGATGGCTGTCAGGCTGGCATGTGTGGCACTGTAGGCCCATCCCCGCTGCAGGAACCCTCCAGGTGTACCCAGCTGTTCGCTGTTCCCGGGTGGGTGTGTGAGCCCACGGAGGGGAAACAACCCACGGGATGGAGATGGGATGGCGTGGGAACAGGGCTGTTCCTGCGAGAAGGACCAGCCTTCCAGCGAGACCCAATCCAGCCCTTGGTGGAAGGGTTACTTGCAGCCTGTTACACTTGCCTGTTGGGCAGTGGCCTGTTGCTCAGCCTCCCCTCTCCTTTTCCTGGAGCACGAGAGCAGCATCCTGCCCATACTGAGCAGAGGGCTGCGCACGCCCCGAGCCCTGCAGAATCCTCACGCCTTGGAGATGTGAGCAAGCTGTCCTGGAGACAGCAGGGCTGCTGCTCATAAATGGGTTAAAGCGAAGGCCAGGAGGAAAACACAATTTCCATTTGTTTTGGCATCGCTTGCAAACCCCAGGGCCCCTGGCCTTGGGGAAAGGCACGCGGAGGTCCTGCGCTCACTGCGACCAGCGGGGCTGGCGTGGGCTGAAACCTCTCTGGAAACGACCTTTCCATGAGACACGTGGATGGGCGCTGGGCTGCGTTTGGTGCCGGGGGAGCACTTGGTGGCACGGGCTGCGATGGTGCTGCAGGTGGCTGCGGTGCCGGTGCGGGGGGTGACGGCCATCCCGGTGCCACGGGGGTCTCTCGAGGGGGTGGCCGTGTCCCCGGGCCGGGCACCTCCTCCTCCAGAGGTGCCACGGGTGCTGCTGAGAGGACCCAGCGCCCAACCTGAGGGCAACGGGACCCCCTGGAGTTCTGCCCTTCTCCCCCTGCCTTTGCCGGGGCTCCCCCCGCTCTCCCCCCGAGCGGCGTGGGGGATCAGCTGATGCCTTAATACGGGCCCTGGCGACAGCTGGAGGCTGCTGCTGCCGGCAGGGGCTGCGCTCCCTGTGCCCCCCTGCGGCGGATGGGGGCCCGGGGCTGCTCCGTACTGGCTGGGGGGCACCGCGATGGGCAGCAGGACGGTTCCCAGCGGTTAAGCTAGCAAACGGCTGGAAGGTATTTGGGGTGTACGTGTGGGGGTGGGGGGGACGTGGGCAGTCTCTGATTCTTTCTGTGGGTGGGCTGCAGGGGAGCAACGTCCGGGGAGAGGAAGGGGTCCTTGCCGTGGGCTGTGCCACTTTGCTTTTTTTTTTTTTCGTGGGGGGAGCTTTGCTGCTTTGGCTCCTCGCGCCCGGAGCACGAATTTGGAGGGGGGACTGCAGCCAAGCGGCGAAGTTGCGGCTCGGCAGAGGGCAGGGGCCGGGAGGACATATGTCTCGTCCTTCTGCCAACCCCTCCTTTTCCTGCCCTCCCTTCCCGTGCCCGCATCTCTGCCTCCGTCCCCGATCCCCGGCCGTCCCGACCCGGCTATGGCTACCGGGGAGCCGCGAGCATGAAGCCGGGGGCAGCGGTCCCCTTGGAACACCTGCTGGCATTGACTGAGCTCGGCCCCCCCCGTCCCCGTGCGCACCCACCCCTCTCCCTCCTTCCTCCGCTCCCATCCCTCCCTCCCGCCGCAGCTGCAGCGCTTCCTCCTCCTCCTCCTCCAAGGACGAGTCTGGGACCGACGGCCGGACCCCCCCTCCCCACCCTGCGCCCCCCCCTTCGCCCTGGCACCTCGCACCCCTCGGCCGCAGCGAGGGCGGACCGTGCCCTGGGGCTGCCCCGGGCGGGGGGCGGCAGCGGGAGGAGCCCCCGGGAGCGGAGCGGGGCATGTAGGAGCCGGAGCGGCGCTGCTCCCGTGAGTACCGGGCGGACTGGGGGGGCCGGGCCCCCGACGGGCTCGGCAGGAACTTTTAGCGGTGAGTTGGGGTTTTCTGGGGGGTCTCCTGGAAATTTCACAGCCGCATCTCTCATCATCTCGAAATGGGGATGGGTCTATTTTAGGGGGAAGCGAAAAAATAAGCGCACCTTGCATAACCCGCCGCTCGCTTTTGTTTTCGATTAATCCACATCCGACTTTCTTTTTTTTTAAGCTGCGTTTCGGTGCGTTTCGGTGTGTGCGGGGCGCGCCGGGCCCTGCCCGCAACTGGTGCTGCGAGGAGGAGGAGGGCGGCGCGGGATGAAGGTTGAAAGGAGACAGCGCTGCGTCTCCGGGCAGCCGGAGGGGACGGTCGGGGCGGTTTTGCCGTTGTCCCCCTTTAGGGGCTCACTGAGGTCCCTGTAGGGCCGCCCCTCACTTGCGCAGCACCAAACGCGTTTCCTGGCCCTATCGGTGCCCCCGCATCCCCCGCGGCTCCGCTTCGCGCTGTCCTTCCCGGCCCCTTCCCGCTCGCTGTGGTTCTCGGGCTCCGATGCTCTTTTTGAGATAAGGTTTCTCTTTCTCCAGATGGATTTTTGCAATTCGGGATTTTTTTCCTCCCCTCCCCGAGGTCACAGCATCCGCACGGTCCCCCCAGCCCCCCCCCCCCCCCCCGCGGTGCTGGGGCTGCTAGCAGGGAGGAAGGGACGGATAGAAGCAAAAAGAGTCTTAAAGCGAGAAGTGAACTTTCCCTGTTGCATTAAAATAACATTCCAGGAGGTGGAGGAAGGCGAGGGCTCAGAGCACGCCTGGAACGGATTTCTGTGAGCCCTGAGTTGGTGCTGCCCCATCCCTCGCTCCCACATCAGCCCTTCTGTCTGCAGTCAGCGTGGGGTCCCCCGGTCCGTGGGCTCTGCCCTGTGCCACCACCCCTGTGGAGCTGCTGTGCTCAGCCTGGTCCCCGGCCCCCTGCTGCTGTTTGGTGCCTTCTCCCTCAGATCCCCTTTTCCCACCCCCTACAAGGCCCAGGCTGATGCTGCGCTTTGCCAGCCGTGCCCAGGCGGCTCCTTGTGCTCTGCATCCCAATCCCGGCCATTTTGGCATCCTCAGGGCTGCACCGGCTGCTCTGGCACCAGAAACGCTGCTACAACCCCAATCCCACAGGTAATCCCTGAGCCAACCCCGCTGTCCCCCCCAGGCCCAACCTCGCACCCCCTCCTCTGCGCCATCTCAGCGGCACTGCTGGGTTTGTTCTGTTGGTCTGAGCGGTGGCTGAGCAGCTCTGTGCCGTGCCCACCTCCTCGCTCTGCAGCTGTCACCGTGCTGTGGGGACAGAGCCAGGCAATGCTGCTCGACGTCGATCCCGTTTGCCCAAATCCGCCCCCCGTTGCGATGTAGGTTGGGGATTTTGGATGGCAGTTGCAGTCTGACACGAGCAGCCCCTTTGGAAGCGGCGCTTGGCTTTTGGAGAGGGCTGTGCTGCTCTGTGTGTGGACTGATGGCTGCTGGGTTCTCCGGAGCTCAGTGCAGAACCACGCTGGGATGGGGTTTCGCCGTCCCGTGCCGACGCTGTGGGCGATGCGGGTGGCACGCGGCTGATGGAGCAAATCTCAGCTGCAGTGAAGGCCTGGGGTGTATTTCAGTGTCCTTGAGGAGCCGTCAGACGGACAGAACTGCTGGGAGAGCGGCTCTGTTTGTTTTGGGTGGTGCGTTGCTCCCCTTCCTCCCTGCTCGGGTAGCTGGTGCCGGATTCCCAATGAATTATTTATCGTGGGACTAAAAATACCCGGGGATTGCGGCGAGGAGCGGCGGTGCGGGCCGGGCTGTGCCGTGGTGTGGGACACCATCAGCGTGAGTCACCGGGGGCTGTGCCTCACCTCGGCATTGTGGCTGCTGCAGGGGGCACGGATGTGGGAAGGGGTTGTGAGGCCGTTCGACAGCTCAACCCTGGCTGTGACACCAGGTGCGTGGAGAGGCGCTAATTTGGGTTATTTCACATATTTTCAGCCCGAAATGCTGGCAGTGCTTTTCACCGAGTGGCCTTGTGCCGTGTCACAGGACAGAGGGGTCCCTGGGCAGCCCCAGCACAGACCCCAAACTTTCTCTCTCTATGCCAAGGATGCGTTAAGCAACAGCAGCTTTTAATTGCAGGTGACATTTCCAAGCGCCGGCTGGCAGCCGGCATCTTGCTGCATGCAGTGCCACCATGGCTGGCATGTGGCTGATGGCCCTGGGGCTTCAAGGCTGGGGTTGGTGTTCCAGGCTGCAAACGGCCCACCAGCCCTGCAATTCCAGTCATGCCAGGCAGCTAAAGGAAACCTTCATTTTCCTCCATTCTTTAGGAACTGCTGGGTACTTGAGCTGGGTACCATGCAGCTAAAAGCTGGTGAGCAGCTTATGGGGCTTTTGGGGGTTTTCCTTCCAGGCAGCAGCAGGAGCTGAGGGGCTCTTCTGCCCCATCACATCCTGGCCCCACTGAGTCTGTGAGGGATCCACACTGCACTGCAGAGGGTGCTCAGGGGAACGCGAGGTTTCAGCCTGTAAATATTTCAGGTGACTGTCAGCGTGGAGAGAGCCATGAGGGAGCATCCAGCTCCTCCCAGCACCTCCTGCTGCTGTCCCTGTCCCTGCCCAGAGGCAATGAGGAGCATCCTAATGTGGCTCAGATGGGAAGGAGGGCAAAGTGGCAGCGAAATGGTGATGGGGTTGTGGAGGGAGGGAGGAACAGATTGGGGAAGGTTTGTGGCTCTTGGGGATGAGGGTAAGGAATGTGGCACTGGGAGACAGCACCCTGTACTCCCAAAGGGGCTGAGCTGGAGGGCACAGGCCTACGGTCATCCCCACCCCGCATCCAGCCTCCAAGGGAGGAGAGTCCCCCTTTCGCTGGGGTCACCCAGTGCTGGGGTGGTGCTTGGGGCAGTGTCCCCAAATGGATGGGTGTGAAGGGCTGTGTCCATCCTCGCAGGGACACGGCGGTGGACATGGGCAGAGCGCCGGCGCACACTCTGCTGCTGTCGTTGGTGCTGGGCTGCTCAGCTGCCTTCACCGATGTGCTGCTGCCCGGCCCTGCAGAGCCAGTGGTCAACGTGGCCGTGGTGTTTGGGGGCACGTCCTACCCGCTGCACATCCGCTCCCGCCTGAGTCCCCAGAGCTTCCTGGACATGCCCCTGGAGATCCACCCCATCACCGTTGTTGTCAACAACACCAACCCCAGCACCCTCCTCACCCACATCTGCGACGTGCTGGCCAGCCACAAGATCCACGGCATTGTCTTCGAGGACAACGTTGGCACGGAAGCGGTGGCCCAGATCCTTGACTTCATCTCCTCTCAGACCCAGGTCCCCATCATCAGCATCAGCGGGGGCTCTGCGGTGGTCCTCAGCCCCAAGGTGAGGCTTCGGCTGCCGGTTATTTGGGGTCTGGGGTTGGCATCTGGTGATTATTGGCCGGGGCAGTGGGGCTTTCCTTGGGTGTCCAGGCAGGATTTGGTCTCTCCTCCCATATTGGCTCCCAAGGATCCCGGTGCTGGCTGTAAGGATGGCACCACCTCCTCCTGCTCAAAGAGAGCAGAGGCAAACATCTGGAAGGCTCCCGCAGATGCTTGGGGCAGTGGGCTCTTAATCCTAATGCCAAGCTCCTTGAGCTCCCCATGGCTGGGTGGCAGCAGCTGAGGTGGCCTTGGCTGTCCTGCAGCTGCTGAATCCATAGGGTGGCACAGGGGCAGCCCCCACTGCCCAGACCCCTCTGGGAACATCGGGAAAAAAACCCGAAGGTGGAGGCAGTCTGCATGGTGAGGCCCTGCTGCCTGCTTGCTACCTTCTGAAAATGCCATTCGCTGCATCATTTAAGACAGAATCAAATCAATTAAGATTTGCTAATGAGAGGCCAGATGGCCGGGGAGGTGGGGCAGGCGATGGAGCCGGCAGCAGGTAGCAGTGCAGGAGCTGCTCCCAGCGCCATGCGGGAAGCGACCGGTCCTCTGTCAGCACTGCTGCGTGGGTTTTGGCCAACAAGGTGAGAGACCTCAACCCTGTGCCATGGGATGCCCACGGCTCTGCGGAAACTATGGGGCTGAACCCATAGGGTTGGGTGTCTCCAGACCACAGACCGCAGCAGCTCATGGTGTGTTGGTGGTTTCCCAGTCAGCTGCAGGGATGCAGGGAGCCCCGTGCCATGGGGACAACCAGCCCCTGAGCCCTGCTTCCCCCACAGGAGCCCAGCTCGGCCTTCCTGCAGCTGGGCGTCTCCATCGAGCAGCAGATCCAGGTGATCTTCAAGGTGCTGGAGGAATACGACTGGAGCTCCTTTGCCGTCATCACCAGCCTCTACCCGGGCTACAACATCTTCCTGGAGCTCATTCGCTCCTTCACTGATGCCAGCTACTTCGGCTGGGAGCTGCAGGATGTGCTCACCTTCGAGATGAGCCAGGAGCGGAGCAGCTCCAGGACGCAGCGGCTCCTGCGGCAGCTTGATGCCCAGGTGCTCCTGGTCTACTGCTCACGGGACGAGGCTGAGTTCCTCTTTGAGATGGCTGGACAAGCCGGGCTGGTGGGGCCGGGCTACATCTGGATCGTGCCCAGCCTCACGGTGGGCAACATGGAGCTGCCGCCCACCTCCTTCCCCGTCGGCCTCATCAGCGTGGTGACAGAGAGCTGGAAGCTGAGTCTGCGGCAGAAGGTGCGGGACGGGGTGGCCATCATTGCCATGGGGGCAGCCAGCTTCTTCCGAGCCCACGGCTTCCTCCCGGATGTGGGACGGGACTGTCGGGCGCCCGCTGCTGCTGCCAACACCAGCTTCTACCGGTGAGGTCTGGGGAGCCGCTGGCGTGCATTGCGTTGGGGAATGGGGAAATGGAGGGGTGCAGGGAGAAGATGCTTGCAGCTGGAGCCTCTTGGCTTGGCTTCTTCTCAAGCATTTTGGAAAGTCTCTTGCCTTGTCCATGGGGGACCTAGGAGGGGATTTAAAACTCTTTGAGGGCTTCTTCGTGCTGCAAATGCGGCATCTCGGTGCTGCTGTGGCAGCATCTGTGCTTCTGCCCATCCTCACCTGCAGTGGTCCATCCTCAGCACCTTGTTGCAAGGAGGGCTGCCTCGGCTCCCTGCTGCACAGGGGCTAAGTCGGGGCTCCTCTTCCCATCCTGCGTCTCTCTGGGGACCTGGGACCCTGGCTGGAGGCAGGGCAGCTGGGCACACGCAGGGCTTGCGCTCACTGGATGCTGTGCCCCCCAGGCACCTCCTCAACGTGACGTGGGAGCACAGGGACTTCTCCTTCAACGAGGGCGGTTACCTGGTCAGGCCCACCATGGTGGTGATCTCGCTCAACCAACACCGGCTCTGGGAGATGGTAGGAGCCCCGGGAGCAGCATGAGCCACGCGAGCCCTACGGCTGACACCAACACGTTGGTGTTGTCCCTGCCAACTTGGGACCCTGCGGGGCCCCCATGCACGCCAGCAGCACCCTTGGCTTGGTGGCTGTGGCATTTCCCCCCCACAGTCGCATCTCCCTCATCCTCAGTCCTGCCTGTGCAGCACTGCACACCCCAGTGCGCACTTCCCCACCCTACAGCTGCTTCATCCCTTGCTCCTCTGCCAGCCCCACTCCAGGCTGTGCCTGATGCTTCTGGCCACTCAGGCACAGACCTGAAATAAGCCATCTGGAGGTGCTTTCTCCAGTTTAAAAACATTTCGAGTGAAAAATGGCTACCTCTGTGCACACAGCCCCGGGAAGAGAGAAAACCTCAACCTGTCATCACTGGGGGAAAGCATGCATGCGTGTGTGGGTGGTGGGAGCGGGGCAGCGCCCACTGCGCTGATCGCAGCCCAACGGTGCGCTCTCCTCCCTGGGGGCAGGTGGGGAAGTGGGAGCACGGCATCATCCACATGAAGTACCCGGTGTGGCCCCGCTACGGCTCCTTCCTGCAGCCCGTGGTGGACAACCGGCACCTGACGGTGGCCACGCTGGAGGAGCGGCCCTTCGTCATCGTGGAGAACACCGACCCCAGCACCGGCGTCTGCGTGCGCAACACCGTGCCCTGCCGCAAGCAGACCAACGCCTCGGCCAGGTGAGCAGCACTGCGCCCTGTGTGCCCCAGGCACGGCTGGGAGCTGCCGAGATGGGGCTGCAGACAGAGCAGGAGAGGTCCGTGCAGCCTGCTGGCTGGAGCGGTGCTGGGAAAGGCTCAGCCCTCATCCACTGGGGCTTTGGGAGCCCATCGGTGGGTCCTTCTGCTTCGCTTTCCCTTTTCCCTTTAGTTTCCTTTCCCCCTTCTCCCCTTTTTCCCACTCCCCTTTCCCTTCCCATCCCTCCCAGAGGACATCCTCCTCTGCAGAGGACAAAGCCCACCTCGCTCACACTGCTGGCGTGCGCAGTGTTGAGCACAGGGGCAGCTCAGGGCTGTGCCTCCTCTGCAGAACCCTGACCCATTTTTCTCGGCGCGGTCTCAGCAGTGATGGCCTCGCAGACCCCTACACCAAGCTGTGCTGCAAAGGCTTCTGCATCGACATCCTGAAGAAGTTGGCCAAGACGGTGAAGTTCTCCTACGACCTCTACCTGGTGACCAATGGCAAGCACGGCAAGATCGTGCGCGGGGTGTGGAACGGCATGATTGGTGAGGTAGGGCCTGGCAGCTGTCCTGCCTCGGGTGGGGAATGAGGAGGAACGGCTCCCAAAGAGTGGGGACGCAGTGGGGAGCAGGGAAGCCCCCCGGGGGCGTTCAGAACCGCAGGGATGTGGCACTGAGGGATGTGGGCAGTGGGGGCGGATTTGGTGACCAGTGGGATTTCCAACCTCTGGTTCTGTGATCCCCACAGGAAGGGCTGAGGGAGGTGGGGTCGTCTGGCCTGGAGAAGAGGAGGTTGCAGGGAGACCTCACTGCTTTCCGTGCTTAAAGGGAGCTTATAAAAAAGATGGAGAGTGACATTCTGTGATTTTAGGTGGCCTGACGGTGACAGGGCAAGGGGGAAATGTTTTAAACTAACAGAAGATTTAGATTAGATGTTAGGAGGAAATTCTTTACTAGGAAGGCAGCAAGGTGCCCCGTCCCTGGATGTGCCCAAGGCTGTGGATTGGCCCAGGGCCACCTGAGCTGGGGGGCAGCGCACAGCAGGGGTGGCGCTGTGAGCTGTGAGGTCCCTCCCAACCCAACCATTCCATGGTTCTGTGACCCGGTGCCTTTGGCTCTCCTCCTCTTCCTCTGCCTGTCCTGAGGCCGCCCGCCCTCCCCAGGTGTATTACAAGCGTGCAGACATGGCCATCGGATCCCTCACCATCAATGAGGAGCGCTCCGAGATCGTGGACTTCTCTGTGCCCTTCGTGGAGACTGGAATCAGTGTGATGGTGGCCAGGAGCAACGGCACTGTCTCACCCTCTGCCTTCCTGGGTGAGTGCGGGTGGGCTCAGCCCAGTCTGCAAGAGCAGGTTGGAAATAGTGCTTGGTTTTAATAACGTAAAAAAAATCCAGTTTGCAATTCACCAGGGAAGGAGGCTGAGCCGCCGCCATCAGGGCTGTCTCCTCCCTAAGTAATCCCATTATTATTGTTTTTACCTCATCGTATTTTGCATGAGGGACGGAGGTGTGGGGTCACCTTCACCAGCTCCATGGCCCTGGGATGCACAGGGCAGCCTGTCCTGCTCAGCAGGGCTGGGGCCGCATCCTGTGGTGCCACCACCGCACCTCCCTGCTGATGAGCCCCATCCCTGCCGGGGGCGATTTGCACAGAAAAGAGTCTTGCTGTCGTGGCCAGGGCCGCCACCAGGAGCGACCCGCGACCGCATGGGAAACGTGAAGGGATTCGGGGTGTCGAGCTGATCTGACGGATCCCTCTTGCCTTGCAGAGCCCTACAGCCCAGCCGTGTGGGTGATGATGTTCGTGATGTGTCTGACCGTGGTGGCCGTCACTGTCTTTGTGTTCGAGTATTTCAGCCCTGTTGGTTACAACCAGAACCTCACCAGTGGCAAAAGTGAGTGGGGAGAGGTGGGAGCTGGGAGGGGACACAGCCTCTGCTGACACCTGTCCTTCTGCCCCGTCCCCCCCAGGGCCGGGCGGTCCCACCTTCACCATCGGCAAGTCGGTGTGGCTGCTGTGGGCTCTGGTCTTCAACAATTCCGTGCCCATCGAGAACCCCAAGGGCACCACCAGCAAGATCATGGTGCTCATCTGGGCCTTCTTCGCCGTCATCTTCCTCGCCAGCTACACCGCCAACCTGGCGGCCTTCATGATCCAGGAGCAGTACATCGACACCGTGTCAGGGCTGAGTGACAGGAAGGTGAGGTGCAGTTGGGCTCTTCTCCCCCCCATCCAAAATTAAGGTTATCCAGGTGGGGAGCCCTTGAGGGGCTGCATGGCTGCACGTGCGTGGGAGGACAGAGAGTTGGCTGGGGGAGATGCTGGGGACACAGCAGGGATGTGGCCTCCCCGTGACGCTGCCACCCGGGGCTCCCCGCTGCAGTTCCAGAGGCCGCAGGAGCAATACCCCCCGTTCCGCTTCGGCACCGTCCCCAACGGCAGCACCGAGAGGAACATCCGCAGCAACTACCCCGACATGCACACCCACATGGTGAAGTACAACCAGCGCTCTGTGGAGGATGCCCTCACCAGCCTCAAGATGGGGTATGGTTCTCCTGGACAGGGTGTGGGCCCCCAAAACGAAGTACGGCCCTATATGACGCCTTGAGACGGGATCCAGTGCTCCCCAGGTGGGGGATGGATTCCTCGGCTGGGGTGCAGCCCCCTCAAGTGAGCTGCAGCTTCCCCAGTTCGGGCACGGCTCACCTGGAGGGTACTTTGGGGTGGTATGGTGGTGGGCTTTCCTAGTCGGGTTAGAGCTTCCTACAGCTGCCCCGGGTGGGACGCATGCCCCCCAGATTGGGTTGCTCTCCCCTGGATGGGGTTGTGACTCTCCAAGATGAGGCTGAGATCCTCCAAAGGGTATCGCCCTGGGATGCGGCCAACTGAAAGGGGCACAGCTCCCCAGAAAGGGATCTGCCCCCAGCCCGAGGAGCCCCCCCTCACCCAGCCCTCTCGGTGGTGGGCAGGAAGCTGGATGCCTTCATCTACGATGCGGCAGTGCTCAACTACATGGCGGGCAAAGACGAGGGCTGCAAGCTGGTGACCATTGGCAGCGGGAAGGTGTTTGCCACCACGGGGTACGGCATCGCCCTGCAGAAGGACTCACGCTGGAAGCGGGCCATTGACCTGGCCCTGCTGCAATTCCTGGGAGATGGTGCGTGCCCAGAGCCCCTGACCCGTGGATCATTGTAGGGTAGCCTTAAGGGGTCCTTGGGGAAGTCGTGCTGCTCCTTCAAGGTGATGTTCAAGCCCATCAGCACCTCTCCAGCCACAGGATGGGGTTATTCCCAATCTGGTCTCTGCTGTTCTTGAGGGCTGCAAAATCCCATATGCAAAATCTGAGAAAATTTCAGAGGAGGCTATGTGCAAGATCTGAGGGCCAGGGGGTAGAGCTGGGAATAGGAGATAGGTTGGGAGGGATGAGGTGGGAGAGGGCCTGGAGATGGATGAGCAACACGAGGGATGCTCAGTAGTGAGGGCTGAGCCAGTGATCTTTAAGGTCCCACCCACCCCAATCCACACTAATTCTATCATAGCAGCTCTGGGGTTTGGGTGGATTTTATCCTCTTCCACCAGCATGGTGGGGTCAGGGCAGGCAGGGGCTGTGCTAGGGGGAGTGATGCCCATGGTAGGCTTTTACCCCATCCCTGTGTGTGCCTGGTCCCAGGTGAGACCCAAAAGCTGGAGACGGTGTGGCTGTCGGGGATCTGTCAGAACGAGAAGAACGAAGTGATGAGCAGCAAGCTGGATATTGACAACATGGCTGGAGTCTTCTACATGCTGCTGGTGGCCATGGGGCTCAGCCTGCTGGTCTTCGCCTGGGAGCACCTCGTCTACTGGAAGCTGCGGCACAGCGTTCCCAAGTCCCACAAGTTCGACTTCCTCCTGGCCATCAGCAGGGTCTGTGCCGCGCCGCGGGGCGCCGGGAGGGGACAGCCTTGGGCACCGGTCGCTGCTGGCTTTGTGTGGCGGGGAGTTGCCAGGGGACAGGAACTGCCCCACGGTGGGGATGGGGCTTTGTGGGTCCAAGTTGAGCTTGCAATTGATCGACGCCAACTCCTGGCTCTTCCCACCCCTCCTGCAGCGTCGGCTCACGGTGGGGCCGTATGCAGTTCTGTGTATGCGGTTCTGCTGACGGCGCGGTCTCCCCGCTGTCTCCGCAGGGCATTTACAGCTGCTTCAGCGGGGTGCAGACCCTGGGCAGCCCCGGGCGGGCGCCCACGCCCGACGTGACGGCGAGCTCAGCCCAAGCCAACGTGCTGAAGATGCTGCAGGCGGCCAAGGACATGGTGTCGACGGCCAGCGTGGGCGGCTCGCTGGAGCACGCCACGCGAACCATCGAGGACTGGAGCAGCCGCAGCGAGCACCTCCAGACCACCTTCTCGCTCAGGACGCCGCAGCTCGTGGTGCAGAACAGCACCGGCACGCATCGGGGTCCCTCCTGCGGCCCCCCGCACCCCGAGAGGCTGCGCAGAGTCTACGCGCCCAAAGGGCCGCCCCGGGGGCTGCCTCTGCCCATCCCCGTGGACTCCCGGGAGGAGAGATGGAGAGGGCCGAGCGAGCGCACCGCCCGCGTCCTTCACCCCGTGAAGCTTCAGGGCGGCGGTGCGGCGGACAGAGCCCAACCGGGGCCCTTCCCGCACCTCCCGGCGAAGGCGGCGCCGGACGGGGATTTCGACGAGCACGCGCTGATGGGGAACCATATCGGCGCTCCCGTTGCCGCCCCGACGCCTCCCAGGGAGCTCCCGCCGCCGGACATCTACCGGGAGCACAGGCGGGCGGAGCGGCCGCCCACCGCCCCACTGCTCTGCGGCGACGGGGCGGGGACGGCGCCGCGGCCGCTCCCGGCGTCGGAGGCGAGAAGGGAGGCGGGGAACGCGTCCGTTCCCCTCGCCTGCGCCCGCGGTTCCTTCCCCAAAGCCGCCAGGACTTGCAGAGCCGCGGCAGAGCGGGAGCAGCCGAGCCGGCGGGCGAGCGCGGACCGAGCGTCGCGGGAGCGGGGAGAGAAGCGTCGCGGTGCGGGGCTGCGGCGGTGCGGGGCGCGCCCACCCGCTGCCCGCGGCGACGTCCCCGACCTCTTCCCCGAAGCCGAGGCCGCCCAAGGCTGCGGTCTGCGCTGCCCCGAGGCCGCCGGGCGGCTGGCCGGGCCGGGCCGGGCGCCACGCTCCCCTCTGGCCCGGCTGCCGTCCTACCGAGAAGCGTGCCGGCAGAAGCCCCGCGGCACCGCGTGCGCGCCCTACGCCTGCGCGGACTCCTTCGCCCACCCGCCCCTCTGCCTGGGCCGTTCGTCCCGCGAGCACCCCGAGGTGCCGGGAGGCGGCCGGGGGCCGGGGCGCTGGGACGGAGCCCACAGAGACTGGGGACGGCGGGGGGAGCCGGGCTGGCCGCGCGCGGTGGGCGCGGAGTGGTTGGCGGCCCGCGGGGTGACGAGTCCCTGTGCCGGCGGGTCCTGGCGGCGGGTCTCCAGCCTGGAGTCCGAGGTCTGATGGGGGCACGGGCGGCTCCGAGAGATGTGCTGCTCCCTGCTCGCCTCCGGCCTGGGTGGAGAGAAGCCACGAGCCCTTCGCCCTGCTTCCCTCCTGGAGCATCCTCCATCACCGACAGTGGGATGCGCCAAACCAGGTCTGCTCACTTTGGAGGCCAAAGGAGCCTCCTCGAGGCTGGACTGGGCTCTCCCCGCAGGCAGGGCTGGCTGGGGACGTGGGGACACTGAACTCATTGTCACCATGTTTCTGTCTTGATTTCATCGAGGGACTCCAAGCGTCCCGTCCAGGTCATTAAAGAGACGTTTTGAACTGGCTGGGGACCCTTCTTCCAGTGCTGCTGCTGAGCCCCTTGCTGCCCTTGGCTTTGTCCCCTCAGCCGCAGCGATGCCCGTGGCCCTGAGCCCCATCCCTGCTCACGTCCCTGTGCCTGGCTGCCCCGGTATGATGAGCCGAGAGCGAGATGGGAGAGCAAATGCAGCGCAGGATGTGGGGGAAACGGACGGAGCTCAGTGCAACCTGCTGGCTGCAGCTCGTCTCCTGTGTGGGAACTGCTGAGTCACAGCCTGAAGCGCTGATTGAGCGCCTGGCAGAAGAGACCCGCTCAGCCCTGAGCACAGGTGGAGGCGATTCACCCGTGCGCTGGGAAGGGCTGGAGCCGCACCTCTCAGTCCTCATTTAAGGGCTGACTGCCACTGGGGAGGGGTCTCTCGCTGCAGATCCCTCTTCTGTGAGCCTGTATCTTCGGAGATGGGTGAGCGTTTTCCTTTTTGTAACGCCTCGCTGTGCTGGTCCTGCTACTGTTATGCTGTGCCATCGCCCCACAGCCCTCCTGGGCTCGCAGTCCCTTTCCTGTCCCAGCTCAAGGCTGGGTTGGCACCATGGGGAGAGCAGCAAAGCCCTGGGGAGAGCTGGACGCTCACTGCCCAAGGACAAACATGCTGGCACGGCCTGTCCATCCATCCATCTGTTTGTCCATCCATCCATCTGGCCTGGGTTACGTCCAGCCACTGTCTCTGCATCCGCCCCCAGCCTGGCTGCCATCACGTGCCAGCGTTTTAATTCCCGTGACTTATTTATCATCGCAATTGTCACTTAATTGCTTTGGCAGCCCCTCCGAGGGCCTCCCGGGGAGGGAGAGCAGTGGCGATGGAGAGTGGAAGGGATGGATAAATGAACCCATGGTGCTGGATGGAGGGGTGGGGAGTGAGCTGGGCTGTCTGCAAGGGGCAGCTCTGGCCGATGGGTGCCCATGGGGACAGGCTGTCACTGTTGGTGTCCTGGGAAGTTTTCCCCACGCTGTGGCTTTGTGGCCCAAGGACACCATGGCACTTGTGGTGTGGTAACTCTGCCCAGGCTCAGCAGTGCCCAGAGCCAGGCTGGGTGTGGGGGCAGTGAGGACAAAAGAGAAACCTCCCCAGCCCACTTTTTCAATTAATTAGTGATATCCCTGGTGACTCAGCAGAGGCCAAATGCATTTCCCTCATGTTTTATTGAAGGACTTCACTGGGGGAGGTGGAGGGCAGGGAGGGATGAGGTGGCAGTGGGTGGCACGGGGTCCTGCAGGAGGTGGCACTGGGGATGGGCGCCCGTGGGCTGAGCTGCACTGCTGATTTATACAGTGACTGGGATGTGGAACGGCTCGTTTTAACTCCATTCCCTGTGGCTGCAGCGCTGATGTGGGGCGCTGGCAGGAGAAGCAGCCGTGGTGCTGGGGCTCAGGGCTGTGCCCGTGTTGGTGGTTCAGCGCTCGGCGGCTTCTGAGCACTGATTTCTTGGCGGTGCTGCAATCATTCTGTAACTCAGCCGGCTCTGCTGCCCAGGCTGTGCTCCGTGTGCCCCCCAGGGGATGCCGCCGCCCCACGGCCGTCCCCATCGCTGCCCCCATCGCACCTTTCATCCCAGGTGGGTTCTGGTGGGAACAGAGGCTGCGGGGCTGCAGAGCTCGCCCTGCCTCGCGGGATGCAGGTTTTCCTCTCCCCTCCTCCAGTCCCTTTGCAAAGCGTTGCCAAAGACTGAACCCGTCCTCGCTGCCACTTTGGCCTCCAGATTTACTGCCCAAAGCCCCACATCCCGCACTGCCTGTGTGGTCCTCGGAGGGAATCGCAGCAAAGTGTTTATTTCCATCATAAAGATCTGTTTTAATATTTTAACATAAATCAAGCTGCGCTTTACGGCGACAATAAATTTGTTGGCAGAAACGGCTTTTGCAGCCCGAGGCAGCGGAGCAATTCAATTTGTTTGGTTTTAAGTGTGAGGAGGTATAATTGAGAAGGGGAAAGTGCAGCTGTGTTAATGGAGCTGGCAGCAGCAGTGACGGAGCAGCAGCACTGAGGGCCTCTGCCCCGTCCCCTGAGCTCCCTGCAGGATGCGCTGTGCGACGGGGAGCGCAGGGCAGGCAGAACAGAGGCGTGCAGGTTGTTGTTGTTTGAATCCCTTTTTATTGAAAACGGACTGCTTTCGGGCCAAGCACCACAGAGAACCTGTGACATGTCTGCATGGCAGCCCGATGACGATGGATCCGCCGGCTGAGGGGGGGCCGACAGCCCGCAGCACCCTGCTCTGCTCAGCACCCCTTCCCATTCCCTCCCATCACTTTTAAGGCATTGCTGTCACGTTCTGTGTGAAAAACGCTCTCACCATCGGAGTTCCCTTTCCTCAATCACTCCAGTTCTCGGGACAGGTTTGTTTTGCTGCTCCAGACAGCAGGTGTTCGGGAATTCGGGCTGATTTATTTCTAAAAGCTCCCGCGCTCCTCGGGGTCCACAGCTCTTCTGATTGTCTGGGTGCCACGGCACGGCCCACCGCCAGGCCCAGCAGCCCCAGCGTGCCCAGGGAGGGCTGCTCACCACAGCCAGCAAGAGAAGGCACAGCTTCAGAGCTAGACAGCAAAGGAGACGGCCGGTCCTTGGAAGAGGTGGGGCTCACAGCGGGGCCCAGGAGCAGCTGTGCTTTGGCACAGGCAGTGGCTGCCCCAGGGGGCAGGAGGGGAGCGCAGAGAGGATGCGGCGGCGCTGGAGGGGCTGGGCAGCATCAGCCCAGGCCAGTTGGAGGGCGGCCCTGAGCGGGGAAGGGAGGATGTGTGGGGCAGAGTAACGCCAGTCAGTAAGGTTCTCTAGTGGGCAATGCAGTGTGGAGACAAGAAATTCAAATCAGCCCTTGGAGGGACGAGGCTGAGCTGAGTGCCTTGCACAAGGGCAGGCGGTGCAGTAGGAAATACAGCGGCCTCCTCATGAAGCCACACCTGTGCACTTGATAGAAGAGCAGCCCCTGCAGCTCTTCCAGCCTTCTGAAGGCTGCTTTCATTAGCATCAAATTCCTCCTTTGGCTCTGCCTGGCTCACAGCTGCTGCAAGAGGACAGGACGGCCCAGCATGCCCCAGCACAGCACCTGCCATCCCCCTGCCATGCAGACAGGGGAGGGAGCAGCTGTCTGCCCCACACCTCACACAACCCCCCCAGCTCAACTGCCCACCGAATTTACTCTCTGAGCTGCACAGCTACTGCCACTCTTCCTAAATGAGACACCAGCCACCTGCAGAGCATCTTGCTCATCTGGCACCAAAGATGCCACATCAGCTTCCCTGGAACGCTAGGGGATGTTTAAATTCACTAGCAAGGGCTGCCAGTGCCTGCTCAGGATAAGCTGAAGGAAACAGGTCCCTCACATCCTCCCCCTGCAGCCTGGCAAGGACACAGGCACAGTGCTCAGCCTGGAGAGGTGGGGGGCTTTGCTTTAGAAGCCATGGAGTGTTTTCATTCAGCTCCAGGTACTTGCACAGTCCCCCAGGAGGAGCACTTCAGGTCATATGGAAACCAGAAAGTCCTACTTGAAAACGAAGCTTGATTAAAAAGTGCCGCAGTTCAAAGCTCGCTTTAACTATCAGTAACACTTAATACTGCAGCAAGTGCAGAGGGCAAGAGGATGTATGAGAAGTGACACACACCTGGCTTTGAACCTGTCTAATGAGGGCAGGGGGAGAAAGGGTTTTAAATATTTCTGGTGAGAACCTTTGAAGTTCTTGCTCTTGTTAAAAGGCCCACACAAAACAGCCAGGAGGTCGGCAGCTCAGATAAGCTGAGCAGGACCAGCAGAATGCCACCTCCCAGCAAAGAGCAGGGAGACACAGGACGGGTTCTGCTGCTCTGTCCGTAATGCTGGGAGCTCAGCTCAGCACAGCTGAGCCGTGGCACGGCCTCTCCCTGTTGGCACCAGCCCCGTCCCTTGAGTTAACACCCACCGTGTTTCAAGGCTAATTACCCGGCACAGGAGGCTGGAAATGCATCAGCCTGCACAGCCAGAGCTCTTGCAGGCCTAACACGTGTCAGGACTGGGTAATGAGCACCTTCCTGGCCCACACAAACCCTGAGCACTGCAGCTGGGGTCTGGCCTGCACTGTACGAAATGGAAAAGGGCTCTGCCAGCTGGATTCACTGAGCAGCATGCAGGAGGCAAGGGAAGCAAGGCTGCACTTTCCTTCCCAGAAGGAAGAGCAAAACCCCTGCACTCCTCCGTGGGGTTGGGGCTGCCAGAGCAAAGGAGAACAGGGTGAGAAGTGTGACAATGAACTCTTGGCCTGGAGAAACCCAGCTCTGATAAGCGCGCAATCCTTCCCCAGAGCACAAACAGGTTAATATCTCTGGAAAAAAATAAAAACACGAGTGTAACAGAGCACAAGGCCTTCAGAGCCAGGACAATTCCCACACCAAAATCTCCCTTCCTCCCTCAATTGGCACAGGAGGTTGGCTGGCAGGGGTCTCAGCAGACAGAAGAGACTCCTTGCCCCCAAACTCCCGCAGGACTGCACGCGGCGAGCCCCTGCCCAGGGGAGGAAGAACATGGAGCTGATTACTGTAGTGAGCAGCCAAGGCCGCCTGCTCTCCTCGCACTGAAACCTGCAGCATCAGGAGAGAGTCAGCGTAAGAACAGAGTGGTGCTCAAACAGAGCTGAAGGCAGAAATGGCTGGACACTGGTTTGGTGTGCAGGCTGCTTGGACACTGGGTCTGAGCACCGGGATGACGAGGCTGAGCCCGATCCGTCCGCACTCAGTGTAGAGCGAAGGAAGTCTGTGTCCAGGTCCAACCTGCACCACTGACGGCCCGGAGGCTCCCCTTCACACCGCCTCTTTCCCCTCAAAGTCCCGGTGAGGTGGAAGTCCGCGGAGCCCCAGAGGGAGCACGGCCCTTACCCCCACCTCAGAATTTAGACTCGCTCAGGACGATGTTTGCAGTCACAAACACAAAGCAAGAAAAGCCCCATATGAGTACGAACACTATCCAGAAGGTGTGCCGGAAAGGGGAGAGGTGTTTGTTCAGCGCCCCGCTGCCGAAGACCAGCTGGGTGTCCTTCCGACTGCAGTACGCCAGGAAGGCCGGGATGAGGTACTGGATCCCGTTCCCAGCATAGGCTCCCGTGATCCCCACCAAGGACTCCAGATCGTGGGTGCAGAAAGCCACCAGCACCGGGGGGACCAGCGTGATGGCGGGGAAGACGATCCTGTCCACCAGCCAGGGGTAGGTCCCCCCTTCTCTGTGGAAAAGGGTCTTCCAGTTGTTGCGCAGGGTCACCGCGATGATGGGGAAGTTGGTGCTGATGGTGAAGACGGGGAAGAGGCCCAAGAAGTAGCGAATGAAGGCGACGTTGATGATCTCACAGTTGGTGAAGTTGAGCGTGTACATGTCCATGAGGGTGTCGTTGCGAAAGCAGTAAATGGCAGTGAAGGACAGGAGGCTGTAGAAAGCCAGGATCAGGATGTAATCGAGCAGCACAAGCTTGTTGACGTGCCTCTTCTTCGAGATGGGCGTGATGAGGGACGGCAGGGAGTGCTGGCACATGAAGGAGTAGACGCACACCCCAAAGAGATTGCGGATGCCCGACAGCTGGGCCACGGACGGGTGACCTTCTGCTTGGCCTCTGCCGATGCGGATGAGGGCCAGAATTATCATGAGGATGAAAGCTGCAGAGAGAGAACACTTCAGGTCAAGCCCAGGCCTGCGCTCCCCACAGCCCCCCTCCCGCAGGCAGGCAGACCCGGCGTCAGCTCTCCTGCTCCACAGGAGCACCTCCTTATCTCTGGAGAACATGCCGCACCAAAGGCAGGTCGCACAGCAGCTAACCAGGACTTGGTGCCAGCGCTGCTCAGGACATGAAGCGCCGGGCTGCCTTCAGCAGGCGCCCCCCTCCCCCCATGCTCACCCCCCACCTCTGTTTGCAGCAAGGTTACGAACTCACAAACGCTGTCACTGAGTTTGTACAATGTTTGTATAATGCTCCTGAAGGAGCCAGGGCTGAGACCATCCCATCTTCCCCAGGGGCCTCGGTCCGTGGAGGCTTCTGCCACACAGCTCGGCTAAACGTCACCTTTCAGAAGTGAGTTAGAGATGTCTGAGCTTTGACCTCTAGAAGAAGAAAAGCTGAAGCCCAGCTGCAGAGCCAGTCCCAGTGCCATCCCTATGCATTCACAACTGGTATTTCCAAGCAGGTAGAAGGGAGCAGCAGCTACTGCAGAGCCTTCCTGTCCCTGCGATCTGCCAAGCACGACAGAGCGAGAACTGCAGCCACTTGCAGGCTGTCTGTAGTTAATCCCAGGGTGGAGGAGCCAGTCTGGAAGGGACTAAGACAGCACCGAAAGACTGCTATTAAAATTCATCACTTCTAGGCACAAAGTCTGCTTGTCTACCCTCCGCTTATGTCAGGGAGTAGCCTAACAACACCTCACAAAGCTTATCACAGTGACGTGCCACGGACAAAAATGAATGGAGGAGATTGGGCTAATACCCTTATTTACTCTGCTGGAAATTTGAGCCAGAAGTGGTTATTGCTAGACCATTATTCCTAGCATGGCACATAAAAACAGCAGAAAACTAATTCTGGCATCACAAAAATCATGTCGACCTGGGAAGGATGATCATCAGCTGGAGTTAACAAGGAGCAGGGGAAAAAATTCCTGCCTGGCAGAGTACAAAACAGTAAAATTTACAGCC